TCATTCTATAGGTAAAATTTTTACACTTGAAAACGTCATTTTTTAAGCTGCTGCTCGTTCACTACGCTAACCTACCTGAGAAGAACAAGCAAGAAACTCTAGGGATTGCTCTTTTCAAATAAACTTAAATGCTTTAGAACACAGTTTGAATTATATTTGTGTGAAATCTAGACTCACGTTGTCTTTCCATACATCTTTATCTAACACGTAGTCTACAATTTTGTAATTATGACTTTTCAATTAAAATACTTTTAATTAAGTTTTAAACTTAGGATATGATAAACTTAAGCTCCGGAATCGTATTGTAAAAACGTATACAGTTCCCCATCAAAGAATCATTTACCTTTGTTAAACGAAAACGTGGTACCATGAGTTTGGACTTAGTTCTAAGTCGGTTGGTTTAAAGATCAAACTGTAGACCGTTCCGGGAAAAGCGACGTGTTCGTAAAAAAAGGCACAAATTCTCCTTCCAATCACCGCTCAGAACGTTGCCATTTTTTTTTCTCGAACTCGAGTGGGGTGCACGAAAGAAGCCTCCCCAGACGACGTACCATTCCTTTCTTGTACATACATCTGGCGCACCCTGTAGGGCTAGCACGACAAGCTAGCGCGAGAGCGACATAAAGTGTGAGATATACTGCTTTTCTCGCACAGAGATCTCGCGCTTTATGTCGCTCTCGCGCAAGTTTCGCCTTGTCGTGCTAGCCCTATTGGGCAATAATCGGCGAGTACCTCACGCCCATTGGCAAGTCCTTTCACCACGATGGCATTATAGTATATGCCATCGTTACGAAAAGAAGAAGTACAAGACTAATGAAATCGATAATATTTTTTTGTAAAATAGCAATCCTGGAGTACCTATATATTATTTGGATTTTGGACTACGTAAGAAATATGTGTCATATATGATTTGTATTTCTTTCAAGTATTACGCTCGGTTCTTTCACATAACACGTGACGACAGTTCAATGCGTCACAATCGTGATACAAATGCGCTGTTCTATCAATTACCTAGTTCATGTAAGTAATCTCGATCGCTTATCTTTTAGATTGCTTTTGTATTGAAGATGAAGATTAGATTTGTTCAGATTCGAGATTTTATTATTCGGTGCGGACTAGCAAGTTTTTTTTATTTTACCAAGCGAAGGGACGAATAAGTCATGCGCCTGGTGGTAAGCGACACGCCTGTCCGTGACAGATACAATGTCACTCAGAGCTTTAAATCGCAAAGATCTTAGGATCACTGCCACAGCGGCCGTCAGCTTGAGACATAAGTTGACAATTTCCATGTGCCTGTAATTTCACTAGCACCCTTGCCCTTCAAAACCGGAACGCAGTAATGCTTACGTTACTGCTTGACAGCAAGAATAGGTAAGGTGGCAGTACCTCACTGGACGAACACTTTCACAATCTACCTACCTATCATCATCAACATTATGTCACTATAAAATTGAGGGAGTAATACGGATGTATTATAAAACCGAGAAACTTGCGACTAAACGTCAGACTGAATCTAACATGTATAATGAAATTGATACATTTTGAATCTCATTCGCTATATTTCAAGTTCTTCAGTTCATGACCCCACTTCACGCTTAACACTAAGTAGATTTTAGACTGAAAAAATTATGGAGCGATGACCACATTAAAAATCTCGTTAACCCCATTGAACTCTTGCTACGTTGTAAACTTTTTAAGAACTGACAAATTAAACAGCAACTTCTAGAGTTTTTTGCCTGTTCATCTCGGCGGCAGAGTAATAGAGTTGAAAATCGTAAAATCATCCTGGTTATATTGCAAAATTTTAATGAATTAATTTATTTTATTGACTAATGCTGGTGGCAACAAAAATCAATATTAGCGCCTGTATTTCTGGGTCAATTCGTCTGGCGTACTAAAGACACGGTTTGCCTAACGATTTTGGTACAGTAATGTTCTAGAGCCACGCGGTGTCTTTAAAAAAAAAACTTACTTATACAAATTTTTTTTATCAAATTCGTTTCATTAACAAAAATACCTGTCAAACGTCATTTGGCCAAAATAAAAACACACTGCCCTGTCTAGTTATATATACCTATATAGATTATATATAGATGGCCTACTAAAGATTTTTAAAGAAGAGACATCCCCCGCCTCTTGCCATCTTTTCTGCTGAATACGAAGACTTATGAACATATATATATGCATACATTCGTTCCCCCATTGAAGAAATATAAATATCTTCAAATGCCCGAAATATATCCCAAGAAGAAAATCTCTTAGGGTCATATTCCAGAACTCTACTCAATACTGAAGTCAGGACTTGAGTATTGCAGTGAGCACTGAAAATCATACTCAAGTCCTTGCTATTAGGGTCGTATTTCCAGTGCCTGAAATCATAGTCAAGTCTGCTCAAATCCTGACTTGAGCATTGAGTAAAGTTCTGGAATACGACCCTTAGACACGCTAGTATTTAAAAAGATATGAAAAAAAAATTGTTGAAGAGTTGGTTTTATAGATTTAGTCCCATGCCATAAAACCAATATTAAAAAAAAAGAAAAAAGGCGGCTTTTTGTAATACCTGTACAGTTTTTACACAAATAAATTTTTAGTTTGTATAATTACATTTTGAGTTTCTTAATTGTTTGTTGTTTATCTAAGCTGATGGCTCTATAGTCAATGCTCTACAAATAAATAATAGTAATCGTTGCATTCCCCCTTTCCAGTTTAGGTTATAGTCCGCCACGATGACCTCATGTAGGGTTGGACATTTCACACGTTTTCCAAGGGTTGTAAATTTATGTCTAATGTACAGGGTTTCATCACGTTGTCTCCCTTCACAATTAGAAACTTAAAAATTAAAGTCATTACGATTAGGGGCAGTAGAGCTCCTTGTGACAGTATTTGCCCAGGGAAATTGCCACCTTACCTATTTCTGCCGCCAAGCGGTAGCGATTCGCGATTTTGAATGTTACTAATACCAATAATTCGAATGGGCAAATCATTCGCCAAAGTCGAATCCAAGCACATTCGACTCTAGTCCAATGATAATTATGTGGGAACTACTCGGAGCCACCACATCCATATCAAATAACCCTGTCCCCGTCACATTTATTTACCGTATATCAGAGACGGCTAGGCAGAAATGCTCTATGGAATCTATGGTTTAGTAATGAATGATCATTCGAATACGAAAATTAGTAGATTACTAAATTGTGAGTCAAATGACAGGATTATTAATTGCTAAGGAGTCGAATAGGGGGAAACGGGGCAGATACGTACTATTTTTTTTTAACTTTAATTTTGGGCTGCTAAATGGAATTATAATGAATATTTTTTCTACCTAATTGATGATATAATTAATAAATATTACTACTCTTTTCTTTCATAAATAGCATTGAATAATTGAAAAAATTTGATTTTAACAAAAAGTGGGTATTGTCCAATTTTGCCCCACTTGTGGGGTACTTTGATACATCGCTTAGGGCACTTAGATGTGTGAATCAACGTAGTGTGCCATTCCTGGTTGCCACGTATTATCAGCACTAGGTGATCAATTGTTTATAAAGTATGACGCTATTATATGCTTCAGCACTTTCTAAATCAAGACTTCTTTTTAGGGCTTGCAAAGTGTTCTTTGTAATGTACTCTCTAAAGTAGAAATACAGGAGGAAAGAGCTGACTATAGCGCAAAATGTCACTAGTTCACCCTTAACAATAACTTGTTGAAACAGTTTTATATTTTTCCAAAAAATAACTAATAGCAGCATTTTTATACGTACCAAACTGCCCTACTCACCAGTGTATAAAAGTACCCCAGTCAGTACCAGTCAGTTTAGAAAAAAATATTTATTTAAAAAAAAATCTTTACATATTCTCTCAGTCACATGCAATTCTAGTAATAAAAAACACTAGTTTACCCTGTATTAAGACATAAAACCCTGTAAAGTGAACAAAACTGCAGTGGCTCTCCTATTTGTTTGCTTATTTTTTAGTCAATGGCTGTGAAGACACCTTGTGACCTGTCAAACGACAAGGGCTAACTGGTGAGCTGCATTATCGCATGTCTACGTGTCGCATTGTTTGAAGGTATGGAGATAATGCAGGTGTATGAATGTGCTCCCTGTATCAAACTACCCCAATTTCCCCTATCGATATCATTCGTAATCGCGCACCGCTACCAAGCGGTAAGGTGAGCATTACTGCATTCCGGTGCTGGTGAAATTTGGTGATTGAAACTTGTGTCTCAGGGCGACAGGCGCAGTGGCAGTGCCCATCAGAACTTGGTGATTTAAAGCTCTGAGTGGCACTGCAACTGTTATGGACAGGTATGTTCGTCCCATCTCTTAGTGTCATAAAAAAAACATGCCAACCACAAGGTTTCGTACCACGGAATTGAGAAGCGACCTTCCTCTAACTAGGTTTACCAACGGTCCATAGTGTATTGTACGATATTCACATGAGGTTTAATGCTATCAAAGAATTTTATTTCAATTCTACTTATTCTTGTTATTTCTGTATTGCAATACTATACCATAGTTAATACAAAATGAAGTTTTCCCTGTCCTATGAATGAATTTATGGTCAAATTTATTGCTGGTATGGTAAACAAACTAACTATCAATTAATTTTCAATTTTGTCCCTTGAGGATGTTTATAAATTACAATGACCTTTTAACGGTTCGTAAGATTATTAACGTAAATAGAGAATTTGTTTAATTGCTGATGTTTACAAATTATATATTATGATGATTAACATTTTTGAGGTGAATTGCTTTAATTTAGGTGCTGTGCAAATTCTGGACACTTAATTCTGTGCATTACAAGTGTGATTGTTAATAGGTACTGGAATTTCAAATCTTAGTAATTTTGAAATTTGTTGAGGGTATGTAAAACTATTGAAATTAAATTTAGAAGATAAATAACATTCGAAGTTTAAATTTTAGTTACATTCGAAATTTAAAAAATTCTGCATTTAAATTTAGAATGTTAGTTGTATTACAATAAACCAGAAAACTTACGATTTGTAACATGTCTGGGACTCATTGGCGGCCTTTCATTTTCCACGGTAAATGTTGTACTTGAACTTGTAGGACACAATGAATTGTTATTATACTTTTTTACACTCTCCGCCCAGTCATGAATCCAAGTTTTATCACCTTTGCAACGGTTTAGACTCAAGTAAGACAGTTGACCTACAACTTGTTCTGGAGTTATATCAGAAGAAACCCCACTGTCATCTCTCAATGCTTTTTGAGCAGACTTTAGAGCTGTGCTTTCAAAATGTGTATCCTCAAATATTAGCGGTTTGCTGCCTATTAGAGACACCGGTACAGACGATTCTCTAGATAAACGGTGTACATAATCTGTTTGGTCTATTTCTGATTTTGCTAAACTGCTACGTCTTCTTGGAGGGATTCTAACATCAGGTTTAGAAGTATATTTAGAACTTAAAACACCTGAGGTAGTAACAGATGTGAAATTACCATAATCAGGATCAGACAGCGCTTTTGGTGGAGATTTTGGAAAAGTTTTCTCTGTAATTGTACGTACTCTGTTCTTTATTTTCTCTAAATAGCTTCTGGTTGATTTTATTTGTTTGGAAGTTTGTACCGCTAGGTCATTTTCAGTTGGCGATTCGTAGCAACAGGAAATTTCGAGAACATTCCTGTCTTTCTGTTTTGGTATATCAAATGTTGAGTTACTTGTAAGTGGACTGCGGAGAGTTAGATCTCGTCTTGGTTCCTTGGTAATAACATGGTTAGAGAAGTCAAATATTAATTCAGGGTCCCTTTCCTTACTCAATGAATGTCTCTTCAATGTGTCTTCGATAGCACCGTCTAAAAGATCAGTTCCAAATGTTCGATCAATACTCATCCTCGCTTTCTGTTCTTCTGTGTAATTGTCACCTTCGATTGTATATGTCCCAGTAGAAGAGTTATTTGACTCTCTGTCTACATCATCATGAATATACAGTGATTCGACTTTAGGAGTGTAGCTTTGAAATAATAAGTCAGGAGTTTCCGATGACGCTCTAACTTTTCTCATTAAAGGACTTTTATTATGTTCCGGAGTAGACAAACCATTATCTGGTGTTAAAATGTCTAATTCAGGACTTGAAATATCTGTGAGCATTATTGCTTCAGGACTCTGATCTATAATATCCATCTGTTTTGGTTGATACAAAGTACCGTAACTTGGACTCCTATAGACATCTCTCATAAAGGAACTATTAGCTTTCTTCAATGGCAAGTTTAGCCCTTGACGTGCAGTAAAATTGTCACTTCTAGACATAATGCTATCTACAATTGGACTCTTGGACGTACGTTTAGGCTGGAAAGCATCATTATTAGGCGATCTGATATGTCTTGTTGAAACTGGACTTGTTATTTGGGAATTTTGGGCTAATGGACTGCTTCTTAATTTTACAGATCCGGACAAACCACTGTCTTCCTGGTCTGACGAGAAGTAACCTTCCGAATTATAGCCTTGCGCTTTGCGCGGCAATTTAGCGCTCATTGGAGGTTTCTGAACGGTTGGACTAGGTCTTGTTAGACTGGCAGACATAGATTGTACCCTCTGATGTCGAGCTTGCGATTTCTTAGCTAAATTTTCAAGTCTTTTATTGTCTATCTGTTTAGAATCGCCAAAATCAATGGTAAAGGCCATTGGGTGTAATTTCGGGGTAGTGGGTTCTGATTTCTCCCCGTTTTCTTGAGATTTAAAATCACGTTCACCATTTTTGTTTAGGCTCACACTGTCTGATGAGGACTTAGATATGGCATGGTCCAACGCTGGGTTGGTCCCTTCCAATAAAGGACTGGACTTCTCAACACTAACACTCATGTTTCCAAGGATAATAAATCATGAAAATGACATCATATCCACTACCTTTGTTTCAACACGCACAAAATAGAAAGCGTACAGCACAACACAAAATTAAAAGTTACAAATTAAAAAATATTATCGAAAAGTGTAACGAGAGCATAATTAACGTTAAAAACTAAAAATTAACGCGAAGTCCGCCTACATTCGTGAGAAATCACGAAGCAGATAAAAACTACTTGACATGTCTGACGTGTGTGACGTCTAAAATTGAACTGGCAATTTTTACTCCATAAATACTTACTTTACTGGCAACATTGTTACCTTTCAAAATAAATAATTTATTGAAACTTACAAATTGAAAAAACATCAGCTATGATTTATATTTATTTTTATATGTAATCTATTCAGAACTCAGATACAGAC